ATATGTGTGTATATATAACATATATAATTAGTTTATTTATTTTAACTACTATATATAACAACTAAAAATTTACAAACAAAATTACTAATACATTTAAAAAAAAAAAAATCTAAAAATAAAAACAGATAAAAAATATTAATAAAAACTATAGTAGTATCTAAATGATACTAAAATAACACTGCTGCATGATCAAATTAACATCATTTTTATTTATTTATGTTTTTTACACATAAACAACCTTATTCCATTTTTTTGTTGATTGCATTTGTCCATCGCAACCTTCAAACCTGTTACCTAAAATACTGTAGCGAGAAAAAAACAAACATGAAATAAATATTTATCATTCATTTTTGGGAAATACAACAAAAACTTTTGGTCCCACCTATTGAGTGATGTAATTTAGAGATGTCAACTGAGTGATATTTACAACCCTGTTACCCATGTTTGTGTCATTTTTAGTTTGTTTTGTTCATGTTTAATGGTATAAGTTTTACCTATTTATTTCTAAAATGTTTTAAACTGTATTTAGACATGTCCCACATATTGGTTACAGGGTTGAAAACAAATCTAACCTCACATTAAATTAATAGAAAACTAATTTATTATAATATTTAATAATATACAAACTGTAAATGGACCTCCTGAGGATGATGATCACCACTTATTTTCACAGACCAAAAAAGTGATCATTTTTTAAACCCTTTCAGGCCCTGTTTTGTTCTCTCGTTGTTTAAAGCCCTTTAAAGCTTAGTTGCAGAAGGAAGTAAAACACAAAGCTAGTTTTAATGCAGAGCTGATTTTCTGCGGCTGCTCCTCTGTTGTCCTCATATGCATGGAGATGCACTCAGATGTGAGTTTGTTGTAACGCACGTGTGTTTGGGATCCTCCAGATGGCTCCACCACAGATGATATCAGTTTTACTGGCGAGGGGGAGACGGAGCCGTCACGGGGGTGGAGAGGATCGAGCTGCCTCAGTTCTCCATCGTGGACTACAAACTCATCTCCAAGAACGTGGTTTTCTCCACAGGTTGAGTTTATTCTCTTTTGTGCGTGTTGTACAGTTGGGACCATGAGTCAGATCTGTTCAGAAGTATAGTTTGATCTCGGGGTGGGTGGAAGGACCAGAATATTATATCACCGTATGAGCCGTTTTATCACGATAACTGTATGATTTAAAGGTGACATATCATGAAAATCTGACTTTTCCAGGTGTTAAGTTCTATAATCAGGTCCACGGTGCATCTACCAACCAAGGAAACGTGAAAAAGATTAACCCAGTAACTTTGTTTTGGGAAGCCTTTTTCTGCAAGCGTCTGAGAAAACCAGCGCGTATGATTTCGCTCGCTTGGTGACGTCACAAAGGGATCTCATTATAATATTACCGCCCCTTAATCTGTAAGTTTCCATCCACAGCGCAGTCATTGTGTTTTCTCAAGTGACAACGGTGTACTACTTCTAATGCCATGGAGAAAGTTTGAGCAGAACATGCTAACTGTTCTGTGTTTGGCTGCACAGACGAGCACAGAACACTGTTTAGAGTCCCAGCCTCAGAGACGAGAGAGCAGTTGATTTATTTACTGTATATTGCTGCTGCCACACAGATCTAACATAAACATGTGATTTATTTCCCAGCTGCTTACCTTCACAGACATAACCCAGTGTTTTTTTGTAACTCGTGTGTTTTTAACGTAAACTTGTGTGTGAAAGAGAGCTTAGTTTAGTCCTCACATGCTGTGACAGCCGCTTTCTGTGCGTGTGCTTCGGATGTGTGCACTCAGAAAACCTTTTATCAGAATTTTTAATTCTAAACGCATGATTTCAGAGCGATAAACATGATAATCAGAACCAAAACAGATGTTTTTAGCAGGTCCGAGCTGTAAGCAGCTCTATTCTGGAAAAGGGGGCGGGGAGCAGCAGCTCATTTGCATTTAAAGAGACAGGCCCAAAAAACAGCGTGTTTCTGCTTCCACTCAAAATAGGCATTTTCAAAATGATATAATAAATGATATGTGGACACATTCTGGGGACACCAGTGACTTATATTACATATTGTAAAAAGGGGCATAATATGTCTCCTTTATTGAAAAAAAATTTTTTTTACAATGAAAAGGGTATTATAGTTTTTTTGAAACTTGAAGTACAAAAACCAAAAGATATGATTATTCAAGACTTTCGTTACAAGCAAAAACAAAACTAATATGTAATGGATGGGTCTCACCCTGAATTCTTTTATCAGTGCTTACAAAATGTAATCCGTTACTGATTCCAAATAACATGACTGAAATTGTAGTTAGTAACGTAATCCATCACATTACACATTTTAGGAAGACTACTTCTTGATTACTTTTAGATTACTTTTGATCTAACTCGTGTATCACATTGATTTAAATAGATTAATCTTGTACCATATAAAATAAAAATACAAAGAGAAAGAAAATATATTCCATTTGTTGATATTAACAACAGAAAGTGCATTAAAGGGGTTCACGAATTTAGGCTAAGAAAGGTTAATTAATTAAATCATAAAACTGTAAAATGAAAATAAATAATTTTAAAATAACATCAGTCAAAATAAAACACTAAGAAAACACTTCTTTAAACGGAACTGATTTCTGTAAATCCAGTGGTCAAATGCTGTGTGGCCTCTCAATTTTCTGTCCCGGACTAAAATGCATGTCTAGGCTGTTTTAACTGAAAGAAACTTGCACTGATTTATCTTAAAATATGCCAGTGCCACTGTTTCGTCTCAAGATGCACATCAGTAATGTTATTTTCTTAGGCACGTTTATAAAAAAATACTTTAATTGAACCTAATCCTGGTTTAAGCTTTTGCATGAATAATATGTAATCATGTAATCTATAAAAAGTAACTGTAATCTGATTACAAGTATTCTAAAATATAATATCATCTAATTACAAGTACTTAATTTTTGGAATCTGATTACATATTCCAGATTACATGTTATCAGTTACTACCCAGCACTGATTTTTATGAACTACATTCAAAGCCTTCAAGTGCAACAGCGATTATACACACATCTGTGAGCACACAGAAGACCGATATACGGCGATAAGCCTGGTATGAGCCCTACACTTTATCCACAAAATCATCACAAGCTGAAATGCTGTGGTGCAGACGTTATTGCAGACATAAATAGTTACAGTGTTCTTTTGCTAAACCTTGAAGCAATGTATGCGATGAGTAAGCATGTGAGTAAGTGCACATAATTTGTGTTTTTCTCCAGCCTTATTATCATCACTGGTCTGCCTTTCAGGAACAGATAAAGTCATGAAGTCTGGCTGTCTGACTCTACCCACACTCTCAGACACGACGCTTATTATTGTGACCTGTTCTGCCACCAGATATATATTTGAGGTGGCCTGTGTGTTTACTAGAGATGGACCAATGCATTGAATGATCAAATTAAAATGATCAGCAATCTGCAATACAAGACAAAGACTGATGCTAAACAACAGTTTATTGATAATCAATTAGGTACTCTACCGTTCAAAAGTTTGGGGTCAGTCCAGTTTTTTTTTATTGCATTAAATTGATTAAAGGATGCATTAAATTGATAAAAAGTGAAGACATTTATTACTTTACAAATTATTTCTAGATCAAAAAATTTAGTTATTTTAAATATTCTACTTTTCAAAGAAACCTGAAAAAATTATGTATCACAAAAATATTAAGCAACACGTTCTCCAGCCTTATTATCATCACTGGTCTGCCTTTCAGGAACAGATAAAGTCATGAAGTCTGGCTGTCTGACTCTACCCACACTCTCAGACACGACGCTTATTATTGTGACCTGTTCTGCCACCAGATATATATTTGAGGTGGCCTGTGTGTTTACTAGAGATGGACCAATGCATTGAATGATCAAATTAAAATGATCAGCAATCTGCAATACAAGACAAAGACTGATGCTAAACAACAGTTTATTGATAATCAATTAGGTACACTACCGTTCAAAAGTTTGGGGTCAGTCCAGTTTTTTTTTATTGCATTAAATTGATTAAAGGATGCATTAAATTGATAAAAAGTGAAGACATTTATTACTTTACAAATTATTTCTATATAAAAAAATTTAGTTATTTTAAATATTCTACTTTTCAAAGAAACCTGAAAAAATTATGTATCACAAAAATATTAAGCAACACGACTGTTTTAACCAAATTGCAGAGAATAAGTGGTGATACACATTCATTTTGCAGGTGTAAGAGTTTCAACAGGATATAACGGGTTATATCTTATAATGCTGGCTCATTGCATTTGCTGAAACGTGATTATATCCCTCAGGTGTCATCATGTTCATAAGACATCACAAGTTTCTAAGTTGGAAGTCCAATAGTCTCGCTTAGCCAGACTTTTAATTGAGGCCATAGGGTTTGGGATCTGTAGCCAGTTGGCCAAGGACAGCCCACTTTAGTAGGAAGAGGCGGTCTGACTGACATGTAAAGCGACCAATAACAGTTCATTTGTTCAACGTCAGCAACAACACCAAAAGAGGCTTTGTGCTGGCGCAAGCTGTTAGTAAATCGGTCACACTACACTTTTCGTTCCACTGACTTCCATGCATCTGCATGTGAGTGTGGGAGAGCGGTTTAAGTTTGGTGAACTCTGACCCGCGAATTCGTATCAAACCACTGTTGCAGAAAGTTTGCATCCTCAATGTCTAGTGTGACTGCGACTTAAGACTGGTTTGAGCTGGTTTAAGATGGGCATGTGCTGGTTATAAGCTGGTTTGAGCTGGTTTAAGATGGGTATGTGCTGGTTATAAGCTGGTTATGAGCTGGTTTAAGCTGGCCATGTGCTGGTTATAAACTGGTTTAAACTGGGCATGTGCTGGTTATAAGCTGGTTTGAGGTTCCTTTGCTCCACATTCCAAAGATGACGTATAGAGAAACAAGAAATCAGCACTACGATTAGCTTTGCAGGTGTTCAGAGTCTCCTGCCAACCAAATTGCAGAGAATAAGTGGTGATACACATTCATTTTGCAGGTGTAAGAGTTTCAACAGGATATAACGGGTTATATCTTATAATGCTGGCTCATTGCATTTGCTGAAACGTGATTATATCCCTCAGGTGTCATCATGTTCATAAGACATCACAAGTTTCTAAGTTGGAAGTCCAATAGTCTCGCTTAGCCAGACTTTTAATTGAGGCCATAGGGTTTGGGATCTGTAGCCAGTTGGCCAAGGACAGCCCACTTTAGTAGGAAGAGGCGGTCTGACTGACATGTAAAGCGACCAATAACAGTTCATTTGTTCAACGTCAGCAACAACACCAAAAGAGGCTTTGTGCTGGCGCAAGCTGTTAGTAAATCGGTCACACTACACTTTTCGTTCCACTGACTTCCATGCATCTGCATGTGAGTGTGGGAGAGCGGTTTAAGTTTGGTGAACTCTGACCCGCGAATTCGTATCAAACCACTGTTGCAGAAAGTTTGCATCCTCAATGTCTAGTGTGACTGCGACTTAAGACTGGTTTGAGCTGGTTTAAGATGGGCATGTGCTGGTTATAAGCTGGTTTGAGCTGGTTTAAGATGGGTATGTGCTGGTTATAAGCTGGTTATGAGCTGGTTTAAGCTGGACATGTGCTGGTTATAAGCTGGTTTGAGCTGGTTTAAGATGGGTATGTGCTGGTTATAAGCTGGTTATGAGCTGGTTTAAGCTGGACATGTGCTGGTTATAAGCTGGTTTGAGCTGGGCATGTGCTGTTATAAACTGGTTATGAGCTGGTTTAAGCTGGACATGTGCTGGTTATAAGCTGGTTTGAGCTGGGCATGTGCTGGTTATAAGCTGGTTTGAGCTGGGCATGTGCTGGTTATAAGCTGGTTTGAGCTGGGCATGTGCTGGTTATAAGCTGGTTTGAGCTGGGCATGTGCTGTTATAAACTGGTTATGAGCTGGTTTAAGCTGGGCATGTGCTGGTTATAAGCTGGTTTGAGCTGGTTTAAGCTGGGCATGTTTATAAGTTGGTTATGAGCTGGTTTAAGATGGGCATGTGCTGGTCATGAGTTGGTTTAAGCTGGGCATGTGCTGGTTATAAGCTGGTTTGAGCTGGGCATGTGCTGGTTATAAACTGGGAATATGCTGGTTTAAGCTGGACATGTGCTGGTTATAAACTGGTTTAAGCTGGGCATGTGCTGGTTTTAAACTGGTTTGAGCGGGTTTAAGCTGGGCATGTGCTGTTATAAGCTGGTTATGAGCTGGTTTAAGCTGGGCATGTGCTGGTTATAAATTGGTTATGAGCTGCTTTAAACTGGGCATGAGCTGGTTTAAGCTGGGCATGTGCTGGTTATGAGCTGGTTTAAGCTGGGCATGTGCTGGTCCTAAGCAACTAGCTCTTTTTCAGGACCAGCTCATAACCAGTTTATAACCAGTTCAGGGCCAGCCTAAACCAGCTCAAACCAGCTGCCATGCTTCAAAACATACCGAACCAGCATATGCTGGATTTTTCAACAGGGTCTACTGCAGTTTTCTATGTAGGATCAACAGAAGATGTTGATTCAGGAACATGTCTTGGCAAAATCAAGGTGATCTTACAAAATCTGTTCCCCACGAAAATAATTGCTCAGAGGTTGCTCTTTCATTGCTCAAGAGATGCGGTCCATTGCTCAGATGTTTCTCCTAATATTTGTCGCAGAAGACTGTAGAGAAATGTTTGAATGCATTTGTGTGGTTGTGCTTTCCTTTGGGCAGTACCTGCATGTGCTCCAAAAGACGAGGCTCAAATTGCAAATTAAATTGTATGATGCTTGGACTCAAGTGGGTCTTAAATCTGCCTCACTCCAGTGAGGGCATGTGCTGGTCCTAAGCAACTAGCTCTTTTTCAGGACCAGCTCATAACCAGTTTATAACCAGTTCAGGGCCAGCCTAAACCAGCTCAAACCAGCTGCCATGCTTCAAAACATACCGAACCAGCATATGCTGGATTTTTCAACAGGGTCTACTGCAGTTTTCTATGTAGGATCAACAGAAGATGTTGATTCAGGAACATGTCTTGGCAAAATCAAGGTGATCTTACAAAATCTGTTCCCCACGAAAATAATTGCTCAGAGGTTGCTCTTTCATTGCTCAAGAGATGCGGTCCATTGCTCAGATGTTTCTCCTAATATTTGTCGCAGAAGACTGTAGAGAAATGTTTGAATGCATTTGTGTGGTTGTGCTTTCCTTTGGGCAGTACCTGCATGTGTTCCAAAAGAGGAGGCTCAAATTGCAAATGAAATTGTATATGATGCTTGGACTCAAGTGGGTCTTAAATCTGCCTCACTCCAGTGAAGAGTGCTCAGCTCCAAACTCTATTAGGAGTGCTCTGTAGCCTCTGCTGATCTGCATTGATATATTACTGCTGATTAAGCTGACAAACTTTCCTCCGGTCGCTCTTTACTGATGTGTTTTATGTCCAGGGCTATGTTCCTGCCATTATGACAAAATGGCTTCTTGTGACGCTGATACTTCGGGGGGAGACGGCGGAGAATAGATCACTGATGATAGGGAGCTGGGCCTTTTGTGTTTGGGTGAACTTGTCAGAATGAATCTGTCTGCAGTGAGGGGCATGTGACAAAGAAACACATGTCTCAACCTTGCTGTATTGTTTAAACAGAAATGCAGCAGCTCTATTACAGACTTGATGTCTCGTTTTCTCTACATGGCTTCAAAATGATCGCTTGAGCTTTCTACACTGAACATGTTTGAAATGCATGAGTGAATTTAACTGAACAGAGATGATGATGAACAAATTAAACATTTGGGAATATGGGAGAAATCCTGATGAATTGTTCTTTGACTAATTTGGCAGATGGTTAGAGGTGAGCGTACAGGCAAAGATCCATCAACAAACTAGACATTTTATAATATACACGCACCGTTCAAAAGATTTTTATGATGCAATTGAAAATAAATCAATACTTTTATGTACTAAGGATGCATGCAATTGAACAAAAGTGACAGTAAATGCATTTACTGTATAATATTTCAAATTCTCTTTAAAATAAATTATTTTCTTTTGAACTTTCAAAGGAATCCTGAAAAATGTATCATTGTTTCCACAAGAATATTAAGCAGCACAATTATTATATACTAATAATAATAAATCAATATATTGATTTCAGAAGGATCATGTCACACTGAAGACTGGAGTAACGATGCTGAAAATTCAGCAATTAATTGCATTTTAAAATATATGAAAATAGAAAGCAGTTATTTTAAATTGTAATAATATTTCACAATATTACTGATTTTACTTAATTTTTTATCAAATAAATGCAGCCTTGGTGAGCAAAAGAAGTCTCTCCTTCACTGCTTGTTTTGTGAATATCTTCAGTCTGGTTGCTTAATAATAGCCTCAACAAGCTGTACATTTTAAGGTACGACTCATGTGATGAGAACTTTGTGAGGTGAGTTGCGTGAGAGCGAACAAACCTAAACCTAAACTTGAGTATTAACTTCCGTCATGCAACTCATCTCACAGCGTTCCTGCTACACTACTGCTCCCCGAAATGGTGCTTTTCTCCAAATCCATAACCCTAAGTAGGATATGAATAGCACATCTCTAGGTATATCTCAATGCTAGCGCTGTAGCTCGCAGCACATCTTTTCGATTCGCATTTGCATTAGTGCATTGTGTTCAAGTTGATTGTTGTCAGAGTTTTCATCCTGGTTTCGAGTTAGAAGATGACACATGAATAACCTCTGTAATTGCTTCATTGGCAGCTCCTACTCAGTGCTTGCTGGATAATTACGTCTCACTTCTCTTGTTAAATAAAGCTGCATTTGACTTGAGCTGCACTTAATTATGCCTGAACGCTTTCTTTGAACTCCAGGTATCACCACCGTGCTGACCATGACCACCATTAATACTCACTTGCGAGAGACCCTTCCCAAGATTCCCTATGTGAAAGCCATAGACATGTACCTGATGTGCTGCTTTGTCTTTGTGTTCCTGGCGCTGCTGGAGTACGCCTTCGTCAATTACATCTTCTTCGGGAGAGGCCCTCAGCGGCAGAAGAAGGCGGCGGAAAAAGCCGCCACGGCCAACAATGAGAAACTCAGGCCCGACCCCAACAAGGTACTGCCGAGATTTCCACACACACACCTCACTCGTTTGTTGACAAAGGCCTCTGCTCAGTAGGTGGTCGGTTCTCTGAGGTAATATGTTGTGTGCTTTCAGGGTCAGATTGTTAAAACACCGGATGCATAGCTGTATTTTTTCCACTGGCATAAGCTTGTTCACCAACCGCGACCTAATGGGCTTTTACCCTCAGAAACATGTGATGAAATATCCGGGAGATCGGCGCAGACTTTTGTTAGCTGTAAATAACAGACTCACGGCTGGCGGAGCCTCTAGGGCTTTCCTTCTAATCTCATTGAAAGAGTTGTGTCTCGACCTCTGTAACAGTGCTGATTTTGTATGCTTGCAGTGGTTGGTGGGAAGTGTAGTTCAGAGAGACGATGCTCTCTATGCCAGAATGAAACAGAGGGAAATTGACGGGTATGACTCGATGTGGGATCCGATCTTTGCCGAGGATGCAGCATTAGGACTAGGCGATCAAAGACTTAAGGTACTGAATATTTGACCCTAAGTAAAAAAAAATGCAATGGCTCTGCATTGATAACCAACCCAAGCTCTTTCTGTGACTTTCTTTTCTATGACTTTCTGTTGTTGTTCCTTTAGAGTAATGATGGTAGCCATCATCATTTCCACCATTATGTTGCCCTGCCCTTTTTTCAGTTACCGTTTGCACCCGAGGCTTTTTCCCAGACACTCATTCTGGGAGTTTGATCGCCGAGCGTAGCATTTTGTGCAGTGGATGCTTATTAGCTTAAAGACCCGTTCACAGCACGGATGATAACTATAACACGTTTTAATAGTCATTCTAATTCTATGAGAATATAAAGGGTAGCCCACACTGCAACTATAACGATAACAACACAGAAGAAAAGTGTTGAGGGTGATGCATTACAAGTTACATAATCAGATTACTTTTTTCAAGTAACTAGTAAAGTAACTTTTTCAAGATATATTTTCAAAATACCTGAGCACTTCAATCGACTTGAAGCTTATTAATTTCACTTTTGGTGTGAAAGGGCCCTTACAGTTGCCAAAAATATAACTTTTGGATTTTTTGTTATTAAAAAAAACTAATAATCAAGCTGACAAAAAGTAACGCAAAAGTAACCTAATGCATTACTTTCCATAAACGCAATTCGTTACTTTTTTAATGGAGTAACTCAATATCGTAATGCATTACTTTTAAAAGTAACTTTCCCCAACACTGCAGAAGAAAGATATTGAATATAAACATTGAAAGCCAATCAGAAATGCAGATAAATGCATATGATATATTTTGAAAATTGGTAAAATTAAACTTCTGTTACCAAATATTTAGCCTACTGAATGTTCAAAACAGATCTATTGACAAGGTGAACAACACGACGGGGAACTGATTAGGTATTAGTTTTGATAAAATCTCAAATTATATGAATATATATACTGATAAATCGCTGCATCACTAGTTACAGTAGCTTTGTTACAGTAACATTAACAGTTAGCAAACCGCATTAGCAATGTTTACATCGCAAAGGCAGCTTTTGCAGGATAATTTTGATGATTAGTGAGCAGCTTAAGATGTAATAATGCTTAAAATGAACACTTGTAAAATGTAAAAGTAAAAAAGTATAGGGTTATCGTGGAAAGTGAAAGCGGCCTTTCCTTACCTCCATCTCTGCAACCTGACTCCTCACTGTTGATCTAGACTTTTGCCTTCGTATTTTTATTTGCATTTATTTGGCTGATTTATACGCAGACAGAATTTTAACCATACCATGGTTGAAATTCGGACATAATCCTGGATATTATTGCCTGCTGAAAAGCTTTACTCCACAGCTTACCATGAGTGCAGTGTAACTATAGCTGACAATTCATTTACTATGGTTGTACTGCATTCATCATGGGTTTAAAGGGACAGGCCACTTCTTTTCAACATCTGGTTCATGAAATCCATCATTGTGCATCATTTCAACATATGCAAAAACAGCATTACCCTGCGGTCTGTGATTCAAAGAGAAGATGTTCAGTAAGAAAAAGGCGGCTTCCAGTTACATCCAAAAAGAGTTTTGAAAATATCTTACCCACAGATCTCAGAAAAAATGCTGGTTTTGCAAATATAATGTAAAGAGGGCTCTTCAATAATGCACCATTTGATGACGGTGATTCTTAACTAGACCTGATTCCACAATGTTACTTCTCTCTCCAGATGACCCCCGATGATATCCGGCTGACCACGGTTGAGATGAAGAATGAAATGGGTCCGTCTGATCTTTCCCGGGGTCTGGGTGACCCGCGTAGCACCATGCTAGCCTACGACAGCTCCACCCTTCAGTACCGTCGAGCGGCCATGGCTCGGCAAAACTACGGCCACAGCGCGCTGGAGCGCCACGCCACCCAGAAGAAAAGCCGGCTCAGGAGACGGGCTTCCCAGCTCAAGGTCAACATCCCGGACCTGTCTGACGTCAACTCCATCGACAAGTGGTCAAGGATGATCTTCCCCACCGTGTTTTCCTTCTTCAACATAGTTTACTGGCTTTACTACGTGCATTAAAAGCATCCGCAGAGCAGAACGGACCAAAAAAGAAAACAAAGAAGAGTAAAAAAGAGAATAAAACAATACACCTTTTGCTGATTTATTTCAAATATATAGCGTAAAGACTGAGGAAAGACAGTCAAAGTTAAAAAAAATCAGGATGGACTCTTTTGTTTTTCGTTCTAAAGACATTGAGGAAACACATCGGCGGCGGAACCGGAGAAAAAACACGCAGTACAGGGCTTGCTCCAGAGTTTCAGTATACCACTTATATTTGTCATATGTAGATTACTCTGTGGATCAAATATTTATGCTTGTCTTTGCATATATTTTAAGGATTTGTTTTTTGGGTTAGTCGTAGCCAACTGCATCCGAGAAAGCTTTACAAAAGGAGTCGGTCTTGAAAGTCTATTTTCCTAGAGTTAAGCTGTATATCAGATATCTTTTAAAAGCATGCTTTGGTTTGTTTTCTTTAAATCATGCAGAGAGCCGGAGCACAATGCATTTTCAGTTGACACTTTAAAGGTTCTTCTGTTCTTTCAAATGAGTTTGCAGGATGCAATGCAAAGACGCTGTCAGGAAGCCATACAGGGTATTTTCACAACAGGTCCTTTTACTATTGCTTTTGGTTTTTTGATGTTGGGCCAACAAGGAAACTCAGCCCTATTAAAACAACAGTTTTATCTGATGCAGGGGAAATACGAACAGGCTGGGCCACGTCGAAGGACACATGGACCATTACCCTGGTGGTTGGACTGTGTCAGCAGTACCTAGGCCGTGTAAATGCTAGACAGTCCTCATCTCTACACTGTATGAACTTTGTGTGGTGAGCCGCTGAGGGAGAAACGGCTGTTTAACATCTCTCAAGTGTCTCGCGACACGCAGGGGTATTGGATGAGGCCAGTTAGCCTCAACGGAGAAAGACGCAATATATCTGTAAACCATTAACACTATCGATAGATATAAGTTGAAAACTAGTAGCTGATATTACATCATGGTTAAAAAAAAAAAGAAACTTTGATTCAGTAGTTATAATATCAGATGTTAATGTTATGGTTCATTATTTAAACGTATTTTTTGGTGTATTAGATTTCTTAATGTCGAAGACTTTGGTTGATGAAAAAAATCTTGCTTCTTAAAAATTGGGGCGAAGGATCTGAATCTTTTTCAAAGGCCTCAAAGCGCACCAGTTGAACTTAAGCAAGAAACCGATCATTGCTACTCTGAAATTTATGGTAACTATCACTTCAGTTTACTAACAAGGATCTGGATCATACAATCAAGGCATCTGTCAGGCAATTTTGTATAAAATCCTGTAAATTATAATGATATTTCATAATGACCTGTACATATATATATTGTGTAATGATTGTCAACAATAATGAAAATGTATCTAAATTAAATTATTAAAGTTTAATGAAGCTTATATCTCTTAAACCATTACCTTATAGATTTTTCCTTACAGTTTTTCGGTGGCTTCAGTCAGAAAGGATTGAGTTGAAATAGTTTACTCAGGCCCGTAACCATAGACATTGAGGGGGACAATCGATACCAATAATTAGAAATGGCCAAATTGATCCCCCAATGTTGTAAATTCTTGCATTGATCTGCTGCCACGCCATTACGCTGCACTTTGTTTGTTATTATAATGACTAACAGGTTTAAAAGTTAAATTTTAGCCTGGTCTGACAGCGCTCGTCACTGATAGAGATGGCAAGGGTTGCCAGGTTTTCACAACAAAACCCGCCCAATTGGGGGGTTAAAATACACCCTGATAGCTCCCGTACATCTGCAAAACGTATTTTTTAGAGTGTTTGCTCATCTGCAATACGTCTATAGGACGTTTCCTGTCAGATGTCAAATAGACGTTTAGAAGATGTCTTTAAGATGTTTATGATTTAGGATGAATGTAAAACTGACATCTTAAAGACGTCTATCAGATATTTGTGCACAGCAGATGCTTTCCAGATGAAGCGATCTTTAACAGACATCTTGCAGATGTACCTGTGCAATCTGGTCATGTTTTTTGGCGGGGTTCCCCTGGTAAAATGCGCATTTCAGGGGCTAGTAAATATCACGTTATTGGGGTCACTTCAACCTGCGGACATGAAAACCTACCCGCGGCAACAGTGTTGAAGTAGCCCAATTCCACGGACCTGGCAACACTGGAGATGGCCAATCAAATCAATGTAGGCGGGATTTACTGTTTACAGAAGTAGAGCGCGAATTTCAGAGCAGTGTTGCCAAGTTTTCCCGTGGAATTGGGCTACTTTTATATTTTTGTCGCGGGTTGTTGTTTAAAGGGGTTATATGATGCTGCTAAAAAGAACATTATTTTGTGTATTTAGTATAATGAAATGTGTTTATGCTGTTTAAGGTTAAAAAAACATATTATTTTCCACATACTGTACATTATTGTTTCTCCTCTATGCCCCGCCTTTCTGAAATGCGTAGATTTTTACAAAGCTCATCGGTCTGAAAAAGCGAGGTGTGCTGTGATTGGCCAGCTATCCAGTGCGTTGTGATTGGCTGAATACCTCAAGCGTGTGACGGAAATGTTACGCCCCCACCATACTGTGATGCCCTGTCCGGCCGGAGCGACGAGACAAAAACAATAAAACCCATTATAAACTAGGCTTTTGTTGCATCCAGTGGGGACATAATTACGGATTATAATGACTTGTACTGTCTTTTTACGCGTTGCGTTGCATCGCGCAGCGTAAACATAAAACCATGTTTGCAAACTACAAGCGCTACTCTACACTGCTCAAAAAACTCGCTTTAAATATATTAAATATAAAAACTCTTTAAATATAAAAAACATACTTACAGTCTTTGAGTCAGAACAGCCGGATCAGCTCCAGGCATGACGAAGCGGATATCATCCTCTTTTGGAAGACCAAACAAAGTAGTTTCGCTTTCACAACCAATCACACAGCGCATTCACAACATGGCGACAGCAACAATACTACAGCGAGAATAAAAGTTACGCCTTCTTTCTTTGTGTGAACACTTGGGCGGCGTTATGCAAATATTCCCACATAGTGATGTAGACATGTGGGGGCGTGTTAGAACGAGCCGTTTTAGGTAGGTGTGGCTGACTCTTAACTTTTATAAAGAATATCTCTTTGGATTTGAAACTTTAGTCTTTGCAACTTTACAGATCTTCTTTATGCACCAAGAGCTTGTGACACTCCAAAGAGAAAGGAACAATTGAAATCGCATCATATGACCCTTTTAAGTCCGTGGGTTGTAGCGAACCATCTCGCCTCGTCAGAACGCGACTTTGACTGAGGAGGACCCCCGGAACGCGATTATGGAGCCATTTAAATAGCCAATTTCCCCTGGAACGCGATTGGGCTAATTTAGGCCGTGATTAGGCAAGTTTTGAGACCTGGCAACCCTGCGTCAGTTTTCACGTTGAAAGAGAGCTAGGTAAGGTGGAAGTAGCGAAACATGCAATATTCGACAACTGTTTTACTATAAAAATTGTTAAACGACCGATAGTAATATCCAGGGATGCAAAATACTCGACTTTTTTGCCTCAAATACGGCCATTTTGAATTGAAAGTGTGGTATTATTTACGTGACTCGTGTGATTCTTGAATGTGACGACACATGCAAGGTTCTGCGTTTTCGTCATATTATTTGGAAATGTTCAAGACATGGTTATGGTCTAGTGTTTACTGCTAACTAGTTTACTAATACTGCACAGTAAATACTGTATACTGCCTACTACTTTTCAAAACAATGCAACGTTAAACATTTCAAAGCAGTACTATGCTTTATTGTTGTCACATGACCTCTTCACATTGGTGTTATTTGGTGTTAACATTAGGTTTTTTTCTTTCTTATTTAAAAAATTTTTTTTTTTATCATACCATTTTTTTGGCCATATTCCAAGTCTTCTGAAGTCACACAGAATAGCCTTGCTCTCCTTGGCGAGATGCTAGGATCACAATTGTAATTATTTCTGGTTCATTTATCGCACTTGTAATGGAAAGTCAAGCTTTGCATTATGGGATACATTATTCTGTGCATCGTGCTCTGTTGTACACATTTTGGCTGATGTAGGAGGTCATGGTCATTCTATGCATCCCAGAACGTGTTGTGCACATTATGCATGCTATATAAATCAGAAATATTATGGTAGCGCCCTATTCTGAACATATCCACCGGCTCATTAGATTAACCAGAAGAACAATATTGAATTTGTTCTCTGTCATGTTGTGCGTTTAATCCCATTGTAGGCCAGTTGGGACGTGTACATGATTATGATGCTCACAGTTCATTATCTCTTGTTTGTTTGAAATATGGATTCTGCTAACACAGCACAAGGCTAATATCTTTAAGGTTCCCTGGAAAATGATGAGCACTTTAATAAGTTTGGAAGATTTTCAATAGCCCTTCAACGTGCGTATTACGCTTAAATTACCATAAATCCACGTGAGCTCCATGCAGTGGAGAGAAGATTAAGACGTGTTATTGTCGCAGGTGATTGAGAGACGGGGTGAGATGGGTGTGTGGGCTTGAGGAGCGATTGGAGTGGGGTGTTGTGCCCGCTTTATGACTGACTGGGTGCCAGAATGCATAATGGACGAAAAGGCAACACTTCCGCTCCTCTGATAGACAGAGAGGGAAAAAATGCAGTTCTCATGGGCAATGGAGGCTGCCACAGGGGACATTAAAGCAGAAAGGCATGAACGTTCCAGTACACTATGGACTCTGAATGGCCCTGTAGGCCAAAGGAGCTGCAAAATGAAAACTAGACCGAAATAGAGATCAGAAATAAAGATTTTCACCATAACAGAACCCTTACTGACTCACAAACACGCATTCATTTTTAAAATTGGGTTTTTCAGGCAAGGAAAAGTCATGGGAATGCCTTTTGTGAATACAAATGTTATGCTTATAATAATAAATAATTAAATAATTTATGCATTTAGCAGACGCTTTTATCCAAAGCGACTTACAGTGCATTCAGGGGATATATTTGTTTTACCAGTATATCTAAATATAAAGAGAAAGTTCCTTCGGCTGAGGATGTTGAAGAGGATGGCGTTTGACTGTCCGATACCGTCGCATTCGCAATCCATGTTCTCACCAAACACGTGCTATCTTAGAACTCAAACCTCATGTACACTGAAGCTGTGAGAGACTCGCATCTGTCACTAAGACGGCTCCTATTTATAACAAGCACTCCTGAACCTTGACCTGTCAATCTACATCTGCTGTGAACAAAACAACTGTTTAGCTCTAAAAAATAGCTTATATACACTCTTAAAAATAAAGGTGCTTCACGATGCCATAGAAGAACCTTTTTATCTAAATGGTTCCATATAACATCTGAAGAACCTTTCTGTTTCACGAAAGCTTCTTTGTGGTGAAAGCAGGTTCTTCAGATTATAAAAAGGAAAGAAAGAGATGCTTTTTTAAAGAACCTTTGACTGAATAGTTCTTTGTGGAACCAAAAATGGTTCTTCTATGGCATCGCTTGAAGAACCCTTTGAAGCACCTTTATTTTTAAGAGTGTAGCTCTAAAAATTTCAATGGCTAGAAATAATTTTTTTTTATATTTAATGATCACAAATGATTGGAAACATCAAGGGGGAAAAATCATGGGAATTCATTGGTTACGAGAAGTATGATCCTAAAATGCTGGGTCAAATATGGACTAACCCAACTTTTGAGTTAAAAATGTAATTTAAAAATTTAACCCAACGGTTGGGTTAGTCCATATTGGACCCAAAGTTGGGTTAAAACAACCCAGAATCTTTTAGAGCGTACTAATGCAATGGCATCACTGTTTATGTGTTTTATTATTAATTTATTCTCACAATGGCTTGCAAAGTGGAAAATTCAGTTGTTTTGTGGCTATGAATATGCACTGGGAAAAAAAATTGGTGTAGAGACAATTTCCACAAATTTCACAAACAATTACAAAGAAGCAACACTTTGAATTACAGGTGAGATTTTGAAGTAGAAAAACTGAAGTAGTATTTTTTTGTAAAATGTTCTCCCATAACCTTTGTTTTTTACTACTTCGAAAAATATATTTTTTTTTACAGTGTGCTCATTGTACAATGTTAATAGCCCTTGCAAATTATTATTAATATTAATAATAATAAAATAGTTGTATTTTGCAAGCTTTAATAAAATGTGAATAACCCTTGCAAATTAATAATAATAATAATAAAAAATGTTATTAGTATCTGCTTTGTGAGGTGAGAATGTACACTGAAAACAATTTGAAACTTTTCTCTCAGAAACTGTATTGTAAAAGTATTTTTAATTAATTAAAACGAACTCAAGTACTTTAATAAAGTAATTCATTTCACAAGTAGCGCATTAAGTTTGA